ATCCTCAACGTGTCGGCAAAACAACAACAAACCAACGACAAACGTGTGTGTATAGGTCATATCATGAATATATAAAGATACTTTTCGATACACGGCACACGATTACCTAACACCAACGTTAGTATAATAAAATTCACAGGCGTAAGAGGAAAAAAAAAAAAAAAGAAAAGAAAAGTGATATACGTTCCACGGCAGTGCCTCTGTCTCTAGCTCTTTCTCCTCTTTTTCTTTTTCAAGAATTGCGATTGCGTGTCGAAAAGAAAAGAAAAAAAAACTGCGTCGCCCCGACTTCAATTTATCGTGACACGATATCAATTATCTTTCTTAAATCAATTATCTTTCTTCGAATCCTTGCCGACAATTGATCGTTTGGTTATACGAAACTAACGACCGGTATTCTCGATATTAATTTGTTGCTTTTAGCTGTAATTGACAATTAAATATTAAAATATTCAACGTAAATTTTGAGTAAGAATATTTTTCACGATAATCAACAATAATATTTGCGAAATAATCTTTCTCATTTGTCTACGGTTTCTGTGTACAATATTTTATTTGATTGTCGACGGATATTCTCGTAATTATTTCAAATTTTTGTATGTAATTTTTATATAACAAATAAGTAACCGGTAAATCATGTTTTGAAAAGACATACAGACACAGGAGACAGCCCTGAACTTTTTAACCGATCGATAATAGCTAGTGTCCAGTCTACGAAGGAAATCAATATGTTGTCCTGTGGCTTCGAACCATAGTTTGTTTCGTCGAATTAGTGCACAGTAGTTTAATGAACATACGAAAGTATCTCAATATGTATTTCTCCTGTCCGTCGTCTCGAAATTGGGTTACTATTGGGTAACTAAAACTGAGTTACTTACTTTAACTGAGAATATAAATAGTAAATGATAATTTTGCACTTTTGAAAAAGAAACACAAAATGTTAATTTTATCGAACATATTAATAAATCAGTAGATTATAAACAAATCGATATTGATAACAAATAGAATTGGAATGAAAATTGAAAAAAATTAACTGTATCTAAATTAATTAATTCAAATAATTTAAACAATATTAAAATATTGTTTATATGAAAGAAATAATAAAATGTAGCAAATTACAGAAAAATTACAGAAATGAGACAACTAGTATGAAACAAAATGATAAAAAATTATTTATATAATCACGGAAAGAACAAAATTTTTAATGCATATTCATAGATTTTTAGTTGCCATAGATTTAAAGAAACTTATGAAATAAATCTGGTAAAATTAAAGTAAAATCAAAAAAAAAAAAAAAAAAAAATACTGGAAAATAAATTTTACGAAATAAATGATAACGACTGAGACACAATTAACTAATCGTCAATCTATTAATCAAAGTAATGAAATAAACACGATGAGACCGAGTCTAAATCTACGATGCTTTATTATTGTCGCATTAAATGCATAAGAGGAAATCACCTATATTTTTTTTTTTTTTTTTTGCCGAACTGATCGCATGAGAGATTAGTGTATCGGCGATCGTCGTAAAAATATTACACTTGGCCTGTTACCAGATGGCCACCAGATGCTTTCTCGAAGTACTTGCAGCCAATTTCTCGGTTCTGACAATTTCCCCCGACGAGAACTTCACGCCAAGTTTACGGAAATTAATAGGTTATTTCGAATCACGTTTATTTCCACGCCCAAATATTTTCTATCTGAGATTGAACGACGACGAAGTAATCTGAGTTGTACGCAAGAATTCTGTAAATAAAAATCTTCACTTCAATCTTTTTTTTTACTTCAAATATTTACTAATGCCTACTTCTCTATGTTACTGAAAGACACTCGTTATTCTGTTAAATCTTTTTAAAATCCGTTACAATATAATAGTTGCAGTAACAATTGAAATTTTCTTACTAATTACGAAATACAATTAAAAATCGATATTATAAAAATTTATTAAATAAATCAATTAATATAGTATCATAATATATAATAATAATACATAACTAACATAATATAAAATTAATATAAAATGTGATGTATGTATTTATTATTAATAATAATATTTATATTTACATTACAACAATAATTACTTAATTAATTAAGTAAATGAGATTTTCAACATTTTGAGAAATTTTTCCACACTCCTATTAATATATTAATTTTATTTAAAATTTATTTTCTCCTGCTACAACAAACTTAAAAACCGAGTTGTAAAAACCACGAATTTTATACACTGCATAACTATTATATTAGATTCTAATTCAATCATAGATATGAAAAAATTGTGTAGACAAAAACGCAATATTGAATATCTGCATTGCACAAGTTCCAGTTCAGACCTTGGACAACTAAATAAATTCACAAAATCGTCTCATCAACTCTTGTATGATCGTTATTTTTTTTTTTTTTTTCGTTCCTCCATTTTCTATTGGATTTATCTTGCTGACGCATCTTCACCGCGGTCTGTGCATTATGGATGGCTCGCGTGTCCTCAACCCCGCTTTTTCCACTCTACGTGTTTTTATTTTACCCCCCTCTTCATTTCTCTATATATTCTTTTACCCATGAGAGCGCGTATCTTCGTGGCTGTCCATACTTTCTAAATCCAACTGCATTTCATACAAGTGACAAGAGTGTACAACGAACATCTAGTTTAGGTTAGGTTTAGGTTAGGTATCTGGTTAACCAGGTAGTTACCATCCAGATCCGGTAAATCTTCTTCGAACGTGACGACTTAAATTCTTAATTACGAGACTGAATTTTTGGCATGGATATATTTGGCATTTGTATGATAGAAATTCATGGTTACACTCGGACTATTCTTCAAAATTCGCAGATTTAAATCGAATTATCTGTAATTCCAAAGTAAAGTT